GTTTTGTTGTCTTTAGTTGTGCTTTTTTGCTTGTTAACGCTATGGTCGTCATTATCCCAGATATACGACTCTCTGCAAATAATGGAGTGCAAACGTGCAAGTTTTGTTTATTTGCTGTTTAACGCTGCCCTCGTCATTGCCCCAAATATACGACTTCCTGCAGATAATCAGAGCTGGGGCAGACAATCCAATGTTTGACATCATGAGCCTCAATCCATGCAAGGGAGATGATGATATGCAATCAGCTGAGACTCTAGCCGATCTTCGTGTCACCTAATACGACAAGCATGAGTAGCTGGGGACAAACTCTAACCTGCAATCAGGGGCAAAGGAAGGCAAGTGGTCTAAGACTCTGCCATTTGCAGAGTTGCTTCCCTTGGACCCGCCAGAAACCTGTGATCGTTGGTTCCAATCCCGGTCCCACTGTAACTAGGGTTACAGAAATGACATCGGTCATTCCTATTTAGAACTTGTAGAATATATTATTCTGAGGTCTTCTGATCAGACATCAATAACAATCTACGCATCAAAACATTGTTATAAACAAAAAAAACAAAACACAAAACAAAATATGTAGAAAAATACAACACAACAATCGCCCCTACTTTCTCGAGAAGTAGATTGAGGTTTGTCGTATGAACATAATAATGTGAATAATCTTATGCAATACTGGGCGTTAAACAGCAAACAACAGTGTATCTGAGCCATTGCTATTCTATCTGATATAGACCTTCACTGAAGACATGGAAGTTAAAATGTGCAACCCAGTGGGATGCTGGGACAGACTATAGAGTAGCTGATCGGAGACAACGTACGACAGAGTAGAGAGAGAGAGAGAGAGAGAGAGAGAGAGAGAGAGAGAGAGAGAGAGAGAGAGAGAGAGAGAGAGAGAGAGAGAGAGAGAGAGAGAGAGAGAGAGAGAGAGAGAGAGAGAGAGAGAGAGAGAGAGAGAGAGAGAGAGAGAGGCTAAGAGAGAGGCTATAGAGAGGCTAAGAGAGAGGTACAGAGAGAGAGATAGAGAGAGAGAGAGAGAGGAGAGAGAGAGAGAGAGAGAGAGAGAGAGAGAGAGAGAGAGAGAGAGAGAGAGAGAGAGAGAGAGAGAGAGAGAGAGAGAGAGAGAGGCCAAGAGAGAGGCTAAGAGAGAGGCTAAGAGAGAGGAGAGAGAGAGAGAGAGAGAGAGAGGCTAAGAGAGAGGTACAGAGAGAGAGAGAGAGAGAGAGAGAGAGAGAGAGAGAGAGAGAGAGAGAGAGAGAGAGAGAGAGGCTGGGCGAGAGAGGCACACAGAGAGAGAGCTAAGAGAGAGGTACAGAGAGAGAGAGAGAGAGAGAGAGAGAGAGAGAGAGAGAGAGAGAGAGAGGCTAAGAGAGAGAGAGAGAGAGGCACAGAGAGAGAGAGAGCTAAGAGAGAGGTACAGAGAGAGAGAGAGAGAGAGAGAGAGGCTAAGAGAGAGGTACAGAGAGAGAGAGATAGAGAGAGAGAGGCTAAGAGAGGCACAGAGAGAGAGAGAGAGAGAGAGAGAGAGAGAGAGAGAGAGAGAGAGAGAGAGAGAGAGAGAGAGAGAGAGAGAGAGAGAGAGGCCAAGAGAGAGGACAGAGAGAGAGAGAGAGAGAGAGGTACAGAGAGAGAGAGAGAGAGAGAGAGAGAGAGAGAGAGAGAGAGGCTAAGAGAGAGAGAGAGAGAGAGAGGCCAAGAGAGAGGTACAGAGAGAGAGAGAGAGAGAGAGAGAGAGAGAGCAGAGAGAGAGAGAGAGAGAGAGAGAGAGAGAGAGAGAGAGAGAGAGAGAGAGAGAGCAGGCTTCATGCATCCAGACCACCCATTCCCCTACTTACCAGGGATGAGGATGTTTCAGCCGCACAGCGTTCAAAATAAGGCAACACAGTCTCAAAGAACATGTTTCATCAATTCATCAAATTTATATAACAATTCATCAAACCTCTAAAATACCACAGTAAAACATATTTCAATGTGAAATTTTTAACAATTAACTGCTGCAATTCGTCTAGTTTAATGGGGGCGGTGGGGTAGCCTAGTGGTTAAAGCGTTGGCTCGTCACGCCGAAGACCCGGGTACAATTCCCCACATGGGCAAAATGTGTTAAGCCCATTTGTGGTGTCCCCCGCCGTGATATTGCTGTAATATTGCTAAACGCGGCGTAAAACTAAACTCAGTCAGTCAGTCTAGTTAAATGAATTCTAGAAATATTGCCACAGTATTGGGATTCATGCATCGCTCATATTACTGAAACCACTGAAATAATGGCGACTGCCGGATCGTGAGATAGGCACCTACTCTAAACTTTTTCGATTGCTAAAGAAGTTGAACAGAGACTGAACCGTCCTCTTGCGTACAAACTGTCTTTGGGTTGGCTGCTTTTCGGGTTCTGGAGGCAGACTTCCCTGCTGCTGACGTCACAGGATGCCTATATGATTACAGCTAAGCCATTTGGAGGAAGATACGGGACTGGCTTGCGACTTATTATCATCTTACTGATGAGTGAGTGAGTGAGTGAATGTGTGGAAGGACTGTAAAATAGTTAGAGTATCACAGATGGTTTTTTAAAACTAGCATGTAAATCTAAAACTATTTTTATTTACGAAGACAATACAACATAAGAACAGGCTATAGGTCGCCAACAACTGAAGGTTGGTCACCATACTAGGGTCCATTTGGACTCACGGTGTCTTTGCTAAGACCATGGTTCTATAGGAGTTACACCATCCCTTCGGCAGCTGGCGATGGTAGGAAAATGTAGCCATAATTTAAAAATAGCAAATATTCTAATGATTAAATAGCAGGGTAGCGCTGAATTGATTTCGAAAGTTTTGGGGACTAACCTCTCCTGAGTGAGGACAATACCTTACTGATACTTTAACCCCTTTGAGGATACAGCCAGTAACCATCGCAGTTGCTAATGCTAATTTATACTACCATTTATAAAATAACATTTATCTACTTACAAAATATATTGTTCAAAAATCTATCTAATAATAAAATATTATAAAATGATAATTTACATTATGAAAAGATCCTTAATTATTTTGACACCAAAATATTGATCCCTTGTGATGGAAAGATCGATACACACAAGCAGGACTAATGATATCTAGTGAGATTATTAGAAATATCAGTTCATTAATATGTCAAGTAAATGAATCCGTAATTGTAAATCTGATATTACCTATAAATGTGAGTTGGCCAGGCCTTTTCTGGGAAAATATCTGTCATGTTAATCATTCCTCGGAATAAACTTGTAACAAACACAGAACATTGATCAGCGTTGTTTGTCAACAAGCGCCGCTGAGTACATGGTGCCTATCACTATAACCGCCATTGCTGAAAAACAGTTTCTTTCAACGGGTTTGTCGTAAAATCTCAGTTTCGCTAGGCATTTCAGAAACATTTACATGACATTTAACAATATTAAGCTAATTGGTTTTATGGGCTGCGTTAACATTTCATTAATCTTTCCAATTTCTAGATTGGTTGTATTCCGTCCACCATCTAATTCACACGCTTAAGCTCATTTCCACTTCCGCTTACGTCACCAACTTGTCTTACGTGCGGTCTACAATAAAGTCATGCAATATCCGCTGAAAGTTAAGCCACATCCACTACTCATGGTCCTGATCGTCTCGGCATAAAATTCCGCTTCCCATCCCACCGTCCCCTGTCCAATATGCTCCGAGCAAACGTTTTCTTTATTATTCAAAAACATTACTTACCTTTACCCATTATTATTTTGTTAAGTCGCAATATTGCGGACGCGAGGTATAAAGCTAAATCCGCTCATTCAATTTTATAACTATATTGCTTTCATTTGTTTCTTTATTTTGTTTAAAGGTCCGGGTTAGAATTGGCCTTCAGTAACCCATGCTTGTAGTAAGAAGCGACTAACGGGATCGATTGGTCAGGTTCGCCGACTTGGTTGATACATGCCATCGATTCCCAGTTACACAGACTGATGCTCATGCTGTTGATCACTGGATTGTCTGGTCCAGGCTCGATTATTTACAGACCACCGCCATATAGCTGGAATATTGCTGGGTGCGGCATAAAACTAAACTCACTCACCCACTTCTTATTTTGCTTTGCTTGCAGTCAGCGCCCTCACCCAATCAAGCCGTGTTCATCCGGTGAGACTTTGTGTTTCTTTCATGGTTGTAAATAAATTGGTACAGTGAGTGTGGCATGGTATCTGCAGGACTCCGCGCCTCAACATTACAGCTTGCTTGCTCTTCTTGATACTCAGTACCCGCTGTTACAGCGGAAGCCCAAAGGCACCTGCTTCATCGGCGGTAGGAATGCTTTTCAAGCTGCTGGCTGCCATGGCCCAGCAACCAACTTGTGCACACCCGTGTGGCAAGATGCATGAAGCCTCATGGGTTTGAATTCTAGAATATGGCAAAACCACCTGTGTTCACTGGTCCTCATGGTAGACCCATAAGAGTAGGGCCAGCTTTCCTCTTCACGCTGAAAACACCCAGTCATTCATAGCCAGGTATTCTAAAATTCACTTTTCTTTGAAGACCCTAGTTCCATCACTGAACTGTAGATATTTCAATTGATATGTACCCAGGAAAATGCTTGTCGTAGGAAGCAACAACATGGATCTGAGGTCCAATGGCTCGTGGGTAATCATGACCTCATAAATTAAATCATTGAGAAGGCAATGTTTTTATGTACTCAGACTGCAACGTTCTGTGACGTCACACAACCGTGCAACTCTCTCTCACTTCCATAGAAAAGAAAAGCATGAGTCACATTTTCGAAAGTATAATTTTAATCAAAGTTGTGTCAATCTACATTCAAGATTCAGTCCATTTTCAAAGTACAGTTCATAATTTACAGTTGCATATCACCAAATTTTAGATGTACAATACCCGTGAAGGTCCGGGTTAGAATGAACCTTCAGTAACCCATGATTGCCGTAAAAGGCGACTAACCGGATCAAGCGGTCAAGCTTGCTGGCTTGGTTGTCATTATTCCCGATCGATGCTCATGCTGTTGATCACTGGACCGTCTGGTCCTGACTCGATTATTTACAGACCGCCGCCATATAGCTGGAATATTGCTGAGAGCGGCGTAAAGCTATACTCACTCACTCACATAGACGTACAATAGACCTCCTTTACTAAGCATACGTGACAGGACTTGAACAAATCAAATGTGTTACACTCAGTAGAGAATCCAGGAGAAATGTTTTGATTTTTTAATTGTGTCTCATAATTTGTGCCAGTTTTATATATCGTTATATTGACATGCATGGACTTAATGACAATGACAAACAAATAATTAAACAACAATAAACTTTACGTAGATAAGGCAGGAGTGGACGTCTTGATATTTACATCATGAACTAATTCGTGTTATTCATTAACGCTTACTAATTACCCATGATGAAATATATATATTTTCCCAGGCCTCAATTGTTCTAACGTCTCAGCACTAGGCTGAATATAATCTGACTTTAAACGTGTATTATGAGGGGTTTTTCCGGTTTTAAATCGTTTCAAACATTTATATTTCCCTTTGCTCTTTACAAAATTTGTAACATTTTGTACGATTCGTTAATGGTTTTGACGACACACAACAAAAAGAGATACTAATGCAATTGCCACATCAAAACTTTCTAAGATTTGGTTCTCTCAAACTCATACTGTAAAATTTGATGTGATCCTCGTGTGGTGAAGACGATCACTAATGGCCTTGACATTGTTGGATATCACCTAACCCGAAGACACCATGTGTGTAGGTACTCTCCAAGAACTCAAAGGTCAGTAGGAAGGTGAGCAAGGAGCAGATATATTTTTGCAACAACAGGTAGTTTGCTGACGACAACAGGTAGCTTGGTTGACAACAACAGGTAGTCTGGTTGACGACAACAGGTAGTTTGCTATTGACGACAACAGGTAGTTTGCTGACAACGACAGGTAGTTTGCTGACAACAACAGGTAGTTTTGCTGACGACAACAGGTAGTTTTGTTACAACGGCATGTGAAGTAATAAGGGCTCAAATTGGTCATCTGGGAGAAGCTTTTTACAACGTTCAGAACATTTACAATATTTTGCAACACTCTCTCAAACATGACAATACTGAATCTTTGTCACGTAGGGATAGGGAAGTGATTGTCTCAAGAACTGCCTTACTTGGCCTAATCTTATTTTCTTTACACATTTTATTAAGATTCTTGATACACTTCTTGGTTTCGTATCTCAGCTTGCGGTGGCTGAGTAACAAGCCAATATTTACAGCGAAGGATACAGCTGCACCCCAGCTGCTACACCATCGGACATGTTGGCATCCACGTCGTCAGAGAACAGTAAACGGAATGCAACTATGACGGCCGCAAGTCCCCTTAAGTTTGGCATCCGTAAGAACATGTTACAAGATGTGTAATGACAACGTTCTTCTTCAATTTGTCTCTCAATCTTGCTCAAAGTCGTCTTGATCCTGAAAAATATTGTTTTAAATACGATATAACAGAGGGGCAGATGTATATACGTTTGAGAGACATGTCCTTGTGATAACCTGTGTAATGATTGCAGTAAAGCTTCAACTTCCATTACAATAAGAAGTATCTGCTGATTTTAACATTACAATCAAGTATATTGTTCACACTAAAACATAGCGATATTCCGGTGGTTATGAACATTGAAAATATCCTGTACCTGACACCCATCACAAACACATGCATAACCAAGGCAAGTGTTAGTCTGAAGCAACATGGGATCATATGATACGTGTAACAACAGGAAATTATGAAGCGGAGTTTTAAATTGACTTGAATGCTTCAACACAAGTCTACAATATATTTTAGTAGTATCTATGTCCGATTCTTTATAACATCTTAATTTTCTGCCTAAACTTTATGACCTCGTCTTTTGTTATCTTAAAAGAGGAACAATGAAAATTTCTTTTGAAAAACAACTTTTTTTCAATCGTTTGATTGACTATTTTTCAAAATGCAGACAAGTACAATAAAATGCCGATAGCGCCACAACTAGACCAGTCACAATTTATCGATTTGATAGTTTTATTGATTGTTTTAATGACCAAAACTAGAAACAAAGTCTTGTTTCTCACGACCCATTCCGGAAATCATAACAGAATCTGTTAATGTTGTAACCATGACAAGTGGTACGTCAGTTTAAACGTCATGTTATTGTATGCAGTATTTCATTATACTATGTGCTGATCCAATTGATATGATTGATTGAGGTATCAAATAAGAACTGACAAAAAACAAATGTAAATGTTCAATATGCGGCATGCTCATGGTTCACACACTGGCGGTGAATACTGTCTAAATATGGTCATTACCTAAGTTCATTGGTGGTTGGACATACATTGATAACCTATAATAATTATAATCTGTCGGTGAATGTAGTCTCAAATGAGAAACATGACATGTATCTACTATATACAAAACACTTACCATGTTCGGAGGTTTTTTCGTTTTCCTCCCCGTTGAAGGGCCAGGTTCAGTACCATCTACAATAAGACAGGAACCCCTGCATTGTTAGAATTTACTTTCCAGATGTTTGGATGCATGATTATCTTATGGAGTTTCTGAGTAAAAGTTCGTAATTCAATAGATAACAACATGAAACGGGAAACATGATGCAGGAAATAGTCATTAAACCCTAATTGTTATGGGGAAATCACCTTTTTGACCTTGTACAGTTTGTGTTGATAACTCGATGGAACCATGGCTACGATACCTTCCTTCCTTTTTGGAAGTAGATACTCTGAACTACCTTTGTCCATCGTGTACTGAAAATACAAAGACAGCTGTTACATGTAACCCCTTTATCGCGAAGTCATATTCCAGTTGTGTTCCATCAATATCTGCACTTGATTTCAGTGTGTGGTATTCACAATTAATTACACCAAATACCTTGTGTTTCTTGTATCGATACCAGATCATCGGAAACCTAACAGTGACTCCGTTTCAAAGTTATTATTTGAATATATGACAAGAATAAAATGATAAAAACACTCTTTCATATGTAAGAAGACTATCCAAATATGGAATTTTCAGGAAGGTTGTGTATCAAGTGTTGTATAATATTATTTAATGAAATGTCCAAGTCGGTATTCCACAACTTAAGCAGCAGTAAAGAATGTCCATGTTTAACAGAGGCTATATCAACTATAAACATAATAAGGTATTTGAACTGAAAGAAACTAATTGCAGCTCAGTTTATACTTGATCTTTTTATTTTATTCTAAAACTCATTCACTACTTTAGTTGTAATGACGTAAAGCTATCTGTATACGGTAGTTTCATGAACACCATTATCATAATGGTTTTATCCCATAGCTGTTCATGTGCTGAAGTTCCCTGTTATTTAAATTGAAACAAAGATTCGCTTTGGATCTTCATGTGCAATATATACTAAGCGTCAATTTGATGTAACAGAAAGATCTTGCATTTAGATACGGTTCAGGTTCATCGACCACACTGATAGTCTGGCGTCATTGTGTGCAATATATACTAAGCGTCAATTTGATGTAACAGAAAGATCTGTGCATTCAGATCGGTTCAGGTTCATCGATCACACTGATGGTCTGGTGTCATTCATGACCAACTCGTGTTATTCCGGCACAAGCAGAATAGTCTCTTGGAGGTAACGGAAAGGAGGTATTACGTGTAGGACAGAGTGATGACAGATGGGTCAGGCGTGTTTACAGACCGTCGTCGCATGGCGGGTTACGTCTGTGTGGCGCTGGGCTGTAAACACGTATATTAAGCAGGTAGGCCAGGACATGCTCGCCCTTTTAGCGAACACCTGGTGTCATCAGTGGCCCGTTCATATGTTTTCACGGCTATATTGCTCGGTACACCACCTATCAGTTTCTGAGGAGAGCCAAGACTGAGTAGCCAAGACTTACTGTATTACGACCATGCAGATGGCTAATGAGGGTAATATAATTATCCACACTTCATGGTTCAGTGGGGCCAGTGGGGTAGCCTAGTGGTAAAAGTGTTCGCAAGTCATGCTAAACACCCGGGTTCGATTCCCCACTTCGGTACAATGTGTGGGCCCATTCGTGATGTCCCCCTCCGTGATATTTCTGGAATATTGCTAAAAGTGGCGTAAACCCCAACTCACTCACTCATGGTTCAGTGGTTGCTAATCACTGATCACACCTACTTGAATGTGAAGTTAGATTTGCAGTAGTAAATATAAGAAAATGACGTCATCACTCCTAATGTTCATAATCTGATCTGATTTCACGTAGTTATCAATACTTCTCTATCAGAAATTCAAAACCCATCAATATAAACAGATAGGCAGGCAGACATAAACAGGTCACAAGGTTTGGCCATTCGTAGGTTGCTTTGGGATAGTATTTAACTTACAGCTGAAGAGGAACTTCCCATGTGAGCAGAGGGTGAATCTCCTCCTTAACTGCAAGAGAGTTTAACATTTTACATAATGAAAATGTACCGTGTTGGTCTGTAATGTCTTACTTGCATTGTTCTCAGCAGATCCAAGTGGTCTCCTATAACTTTTCATGTATGTATGTATGGTTTCACTATTTCTTTTGTCAAGTGAGCCGCCGCCATATATCTGGAATATTGCTGAGTGCGGCGTAAAACTAAACTCACTCAAGTGAATGGGGAGACAGTTTTACAACTGATAACTTAAGTACCTAGAGATACCTGGCAAAACGAGTTTGAATAATTTCAAAACATAAAATCTTTGAGAAGAATGTATAATACATGGACATAGCAACATCTCTCACTGGGCATGAACGTACACGTTGGATACAGATGAGTACTGGGCTAGTCGATTATTCCATAGGTGCGTTTATTTTACGTCACTTGTTTTACAAGTCATTGTGGAGATGCACCGTATTGAACTGGGATTTATGTGTTACAACACTGTCAGTAGATCCAAGTTGTAAGAAACTTACAACTTGTCATACATGTATCCATTCACACTCTCTTTGGTCAAGTGTGTCATGTGACGACTTAACTACCTGTATGAAGTTACGTTTTGTGTTAAGAATTTCTCATATCGTGAAACGCTTTAAATTGACGAGCCGATGCTGAGAATTTCAGCCACTCATAGAGAATTTGTTTTTGTATGCACTCTTGTGTACGGGGTTAGACTGAATCGTATAAAAATACAATCACTATCAACCAGGAAGAGACAAAGTGTGTGATGTATCTTGTTACCTGGGTCAGGCTGTACCATGTGGACTATACTACTGATAAGGTGCTAGGTTAAATCACATGTTGAAATAGGTCATTCATATCACATGTAGCACTTATATTATCATCAACTCTATATATGGTGAAATAGGTAATCGTTGTGTTTTGCTCTAGATATTAAAACGCTTTCAAGAACTTGCTGGTGAAAGGTGAGCCTATCAGTTGATGCATGGTCTTGTCGCCCTAATATTCAGGAAGATGGCCTGAATGAATGCGGCAATTGAGATTTAGGTTGAGGAACCGCCATCTTGTATTTTTGTGGTCAATGCGTAATGCCCATGGTTGTTACCTTCTAGGTAAAGTAAGGGCTAAAAATTAAGTTATTTCATATACATGTAATATCGATAAACCCTCTACATCCAGAAAGACACCTCTGCTAAGAGCAGCGTCCCGTCGTGGTATTGTTGGAATATTGCTGACGACGTAAAACCATACTCACTCACTCAAAGAGCGATGTTCGCGTAAAGGTGAAAGGGTATCCTGCCCCACTAATATCACCTATAATACAGTTAAAAGAGGGAAACCATCCATCCACCCATCCAATAGAATTAAGCTTACATATTATTATTGGCTTACTGGAATTCATCAGTGTAAGGGGCGGTGGGGTAGTCTAGTGGTTAAAGCGTTGGCTCGTCACGCCGAAGACCCGGGTTCGAATCCCCACATGGGTACAATGTGTGAAGCCCATTTCTGGTGTCCCCCGCCGTGATCTTGCTGGAATATTGCTAAAAGCGGCGTAAAATCAAACTCAGTCAGTCATCAGTGTATTTCTATTTTTCTCAAAATCCCAAATATGTACTGTCTTAATCTCTTGTCGGTTTTCTTGAAACATCTCAAAATGAGTAGATGGCTTTGAAAAATATGTTTGGAAAACATCCTTACAGTGAGGCTCCTTATACCAAAAGGGTAACAAAACTGTCAATCGGCTGTTTAGGCTAAACAACGAAGAGAGGTCATTCTAAATGATTGGTGTTCAAAATCACTGCTAAAAACAACCTGTGTGCATCATTCCCTACTGGCTGCCCATCTACATCCTTAATCTCTTATGCATACTACCATGTACATCTTCTTTATTGGCTTCCAATCAACCTACTTAATCCTGTATACCATTCTGTGTTATCAACCTCTTCTACTGTATAAACAACTCATTTTCGCCTCATCCCTCATCTATTGTCCAAACAGCTCATGTATTTATATCACCCCAGATTACTCCTCTAGTATCACTTGCTTGACAACGACATTAGAATCTATGTCGAAACGTCGCCCATACAGAATAAAGAAGGTGTATATCCAAACAAATAGTCCTCATTCTTCGACAGAGTAAGGGTTGAACACAAGGGACATATATGCCCCTTTGGTACTCAGCGAGTTAAGGCAACACAGGAGGGCCAATCGCTAATTTGTGATTCATGGCTCTCTAACTTTCTTATTTAAACCTTGACATTTTCAGTGCCGCAGAAATGGGCTGTAGTTGCCAATTTTGTTTTGTTTGTTGTTTGTACATAATCGAATCTGGACCAGACAATCCAGTGACTGACATCATGAACGTCGATATACACGACCAGACACTTGACCAATCCTGAATCAGCTCAACGTATACGATGAGTCCGCTGGCAAGATTCGACCAGTGGAGTGTGCAACACTTCACAATACACTTTGCAGTTGGAAGTACGGGTTTGGCTCAGGAAGGAGGAACGTCCCACCCAGTTTTGTGGGGGCACTGTAATGATTTGGGTAGAATCCCGAATGCTTCGAAATGTTCTGTCCATGAGGCGATATTGTGTTGCCGTCAAGAGACAAACTCGTTATTGACTTCTTGTGTTCCAGCGGTTTTATCAGTGTGAAGTTCGCGGTCGTGGTCATGAAACAACATGCATTATTTAGGAGATATACATACTGTATTGGAAAATCAGAGGTATATAACGCTACGCGTTCGGTTTTAAATCAGATTTAGACCTGTTATAATGTCGTTTACCTTTGATTTTCCAACACAGTATGTTTATCTCCATTCCAGAATAACAATTTTATGAAAAATTCAGTTGGAACTCTATTTTTAATTGCGCGACAATGCCTGAAGCGGCCTCGCATTCAAATCTCAAGTGGAATCGCCCGAAACCGGGTGATTGGTGGTAAACCGTCAATAACTAACAACCACCAGGTTCAGTAATAACAAATAATGGTTTGTTTTTTTCACTGCATGAATCATCAATCATTAACTGATAAATTGGAAAACATATATCAAATCAGTTTGAATAGCTTGGTTCACCTTTTAAAATTCCACTGTAGACCCTTTACCCGCCAAAATATTGGCAGCGACAAGCATTTTAACCTTTTCTCTTGACGTAACGGTTGCATATTGGAAATTTGGAAAGATGCGTCAGGAGAACTTCCTGCAGTTTGCACAAGGTTAACCTGATTGTTTGACTGACAGGGGCGGTGGGGTAGCCTAATGGTTAAAGCGTTGGCTCGTCACGCCGAAGACCCGGGTTCGAATCCCCACATGGGTACAATGTGTGAAGCCCATTTCTGGTGTCCCCCGCCGTGATGTTGCTGGAATATTGCTAAAAGCGGCGTAAAACCAAACTCAGTCAGTCAGTCAGTCAGTCTGACTGACATGGAGCCTGACTGTGCAAGAGTATTGGTACCTTGCACAAATTAAAGAGTACAAATGCTTTTGCTGTGATGAGAAGTCCGTGTTGTACGAATTTAGATAGTTTTGCGCCCTTGAATTTTGCGCCCTGTCAACATTGACGATTTCACGCACCTCTACGTCTGCGTGCTACAGAAGTGTCACTGGTGACTCTTACACACTCATTCGTGTACTTTGTGCTCAAATTCGATTCTATGGATATCATTTTCGAAATTTTGCAAAGCGTGTTGTGACCTACTGGCTTCAAAGTGTAGTGTATTCAAATTGAATCGGATTGGCTGTCATGTTCGCGAGGCTGTTGGCCAGGAGGATTTGGGGTGATATTTCCGAAAGGATGGATCAGGACATGAGTGTCTACCTCTGGCCTAAATACGGTAAGGTAATTAATTTTACTCCAATAGACTACTTTAGATCAGGCAGTGTAATGGATTAGAGGATGAAATTATATTTTTTAGAAAACTTATGTTGGGCTAAACAGAACAAATTTAACGTTTGCAGCTGCTGTAATTGTGTTATACTACTGTTAAACTTTAAACAATAGATATTCCTCATAAATATATCATTTCGTTTGAATGAAACCCAACTGTCTATATTTATGGTGGACGGAAGGCTCTTCATCGGCGTTCGATGTTACTGCATTCACGGTCACCGGATCAAGATCAATGGCTATATTGTCAACGAAATCTGATAATAGATTTAATACGGAAATTATGTAACAGTCTATCGCTTAATCTATTTTTACATAACATAGAATCAACGTAAACCTATTTTTCTTGGTGAATTTGTATTTCGGAAAGCAGACGATGTTTTGATCGTGTTCGACTGAATATTTGTTTCAATGCTTGTGAAGTTTTTTTGTATGTATTAACACCTATTTCTGTGATTTACGCTAGTATTTACTCGAGTCGAGCATCGCTAAATCCAGCTTTAATGACATATGTTTAATTTCCGACAGCACAATCGCCGTAATCTCTCGATGTATCGGTAATTTGTTTGGTGTCCGCCATGTGGGTGGGCAGACGAAAATAGTGCATTGCCGTAAACCTTGTGCAACTGCGCATGGAAAATCGGAGACCTGTCTAACGTGATTCTATACTTCTGAATGACTTTTATGAACCAATCACAATCCAGTATTTACTGAAGGCATGGTAGTATTTTCCATAATCCATTTTTCGTCATTTGTTTTGTTACCCGGATGATAGCAGTGTGATTTTCATATTAATGCACATACTTCTTTCATTGTGAGATTCAATCTAACAAGAAAGGGCTACTATATAAGGACGAAAGTTACAACAGAAGGAGAGAAAAGTCCAGCATAAGGAGAGACAGCTTCATTGAAGATAGAAAACAATGCATGATAAGGAGACAAGGTTACACAAGCGCAGTTGGTTAGCAGCACCACAGAAAGCTACACTAGTGAAAGAAAAGCTGCACGCCAACTTCGGAGAGAAATCTAAAATATAAGGAGATAAGCTATAACGCCAAGACGGAAAACTGCAAAATAAGGAGAGAACGCTAAACAAAAGGAGAAAAGGAATGAAAGCTATAACATAAGTAATAGAAGCCAAAGCATAAGGACAATAGGCTACAGCATTTAGAGAAGGAAGCTACAATATGAGGATAAAACACCAACACTATGACAGGAACCTACAAGCTGATTTTAAAAGTTACACTAAAAGGATAGAAAGCAAACACGGAAGGAGAAAAACTAGATCGAAAGGTATAAATAACGAAAGGTGTTAAAGCTACAGCATAATGAGAGTAAGCTACAACCGAAAGAGTAAATTGACAACATTAGGAAAAATGCCACCAGATGACCTGCTGAAAGGCTACAACATATGGAGAAATGGGGCATTATAAGGAGAAAAGGAACAACATAGGAAGAACAGCTACAACGTAGGGAGGTATGATCTGGTTATGTTTGGTATGAACCACAGTGGGTCGTTTAGAAGGCGACGTTTTTGATGTTCAAAAGAAAGTCATTCTCTGTGGTCTTCAAACGTAAAATACATAATTACATGGTACTTGCTACATATAACCTACGTTTCATCATTTCTGGAAGGACAGAGGTGTTCAAAGATATTTATTCGCTCCAAACTTGACTTAGAGCCTTCATAGATACAAGGTAACTTTTTTCCATGTAAAAATCATAGTTACCTACCTGACACAAGTCTGCCTCTTCGTTGACCTTGTTGACGCAGTTTGACTGAGACAGTGTTGATACTGATGAAGGTATACTAGTTGTTCTGTAATTTATATATGTGATGGCGTGCAGTGAATGGTTACTGATTACGTCAGTGCATGTCGCTACAATTGTCTCTCAGAGCGAGGCCATGGTGCAAATAATAGATAAAGAACATTAGGTTTTAACGTAAGAAACCTTCATCAATGTTAATAATTCTTGAATAACGACTGAAGGGCTTTCTAACACCAAAGGTATAAATGGAATGAGTCTATAGCCAACACTATGAAAAGTGTGCTTCACATAAAGTTCAATGCAAAATAAATTAATTCTGAAAGATATTTCGCCTTTTAGGTCGTGATGCACAATTATTACTGCCCGACACACACATGTCTATGATTGTATGTTTATTGGAAGCATGCTACTCTCCTAACAAAAGTTCCTGAAAGAATATTTATTATTTTTTTTCTGCTTTAGAATATGACGAACTGTTTTGAGATTCAGGTTCCGATTCATCTTATCACCACATTGACGTCACTGATGCTTTTATGACCAGATAGTGGATACTATATCATACGTGGTTGATCATACAATCACACAGTGAGATTAATTACATTTTACTTAATATGCATTTGTGAATGATTGTAAATTGAGTATGTCATTGTCCGTTTAGAAATATGTCAGATATAACGTGTGTCACATGGGATTATACTTTTCAGTAAAATACAGATTTTGGAACATTTGGGGGACTAAGTCCCGTCCCTCAGCGATGTAACCTGTTCAACTACCACGTTACAGTACGTATTAGGTACGTTGTGTACCCCTGTCGCGAGTACCGCCTCCGTGGTGTTGTGGTTAGAGCGTCCGCCCGGAGAGCGGAAGATCGCGGGTTCGATCCCCGACCGCGTCATACAAAAAGACGTTAAAATATGGTACTTGTTGGTCCCTGCCTGGCGCTCGGCATTAATGGGTACAACAAGGACTGGTCGGCTCGGAGTCAGTATAATGTGTCTGAGTGGGGTATTCATGCTTCACTGCGGCATGGTATCTCAGTGGGCGAGCACTATAAAACCAGCTTCAGTCTGGGCTAGTACAAGCAGCCGCACATACACATACACACGCATGCACGTCGTCATATACGCGCATATGTATTGTTACCCCATCTGCTATGTATACCTTTGTTCCGCCTCCTCAATATTGGCTTCCTCCCATTGTTATTGTATTACCTACCCATCTGCTATGTATACCCTGTTCCGCCTCTCAATATTGGCTTCCTCCCATTGTTATTGTATTATTACCCCATCTGCTATGTATACCTTGTTCTGCCTCCTCAACCTTGGCTTCCTCCCATTGTTATTGTATTATTACCTACCCATCTGCTATGTATACCCTGTTCCGCCTCTCAATATTGGCTTCCTCCCATTGTTATTGTATTATTACCCCATCTGCTATGTATACCCTGTTCCGCCTCCTCACCTTGGCTTCCTCCCATATTTATTGCATTACCTCCCCATCTGCTAAGTATACCTTGTTCCGCCTCTCAATATTGGCTTCCTCCCATATTTATTGCATTACCTCCCCATCTGCTAAGTATACCTTGTTCCGCCTCTCAATATTGGCTTCCTCCCATATTTATTGCATTACCTCCCATCTGCTAAGTATACCTTGTTCCGCAGCCTCTCAATATTGGCTTTCCTCCCATATTTATTGCATTACTCTACCCATCTGCTAAGTATACCTTGTTCCGCCTCTCTCAATATTGGCTTCCTCCCATATGTATTGCATTACCTCCCATCTGCTAAGTATACCTTGTTCCGCCTCCTCAATATTGGCTTCCTCCCATATTTATTGCATTACCTCCCCATCTGCTAAGTATACCTTGTTCAGCCTCTTAATATTGGCTTCTCCCATATGTATTGCATTACCTCCCATCTGCTAAGTATACCTTTGTTCCGCCTTCCTCTCAATATTGGCTTCCTCCCATATTTATTGCATTACCTCCCCATCTGCTCAGTATACCTTGTTCAGCCTCTCAATATTGGCTTCCTCCCATATTTATTGCATTACCTCCCCATCTGCTAAGTATACCTTGTCCAGCCTCTCAATATTGGCTTCCTCCCATATTTTATTGCATTACCTCCCCATCTGCTATGTATACCTTGTTCTGCCTCCCAACATTGGTTTCCCCTCCCATTGTTATTGTATTATTACCCCATCTGCTATGTATACCCTGTTCCGCCTCCCCAACCTTGGCTTCCACCCATTGTTATTGTATTATTACCACCCCATCTGCTATGTATACCCCTGTTCCGCCTCCCCAACCTTGGCTTCCTCCATTGTTATTGTATTATTACCTACCCCATCTGCTATGTATACCCTGTTCCGCGTCCCCAACCTTGGCTTCCTCCCATTGTTATTGTATTATTACCTACCCCATCTGCCATGTGTATACCTTGTTCTGCCTCCTCAACCTTGGCTTCCTCCCATTGTTATTGTATTATTACCTATCCCATTGTTGCTGTTGTTAATCCCTTTGATGCATGCCCTCATGTTGTCTTACTTAATCCCTGTTACGTGTATGTAAGTCGGTTCTGTGCTGTATTACTTTACTCTTGCTTGACAACGGTATATAAGAAGTTGTACCAAAACTTCGCATCATAACACATAAAGAAGTTGTTATCCATAAAGTATTATACTTTTGTATTATCCATCAACTTCTAACATACCAATCAAACAGATATATGCTGGCAGTCTGCAAGTACTCGAGTCTGGATCAGACAATCCACTGATCAAAAGCATGATCAGGTTGAACTGATGGATGCCAGGGGAACAGTCACGTCTGCCGACTTGCATGTCTTTTCAGAATTGTGGCCAATGGCTTTTTTGAAACTTCGGGCCAATTGGAATCAGGCAATGAAAAATAATAAAAATTTGATAAGTTCGGGGAGCGGATCTGGCACCAAACTACCCAGTATTATTTCAACAAAGTGTAATTTGTTCAGAGCGATTGGTCCGTGTTTTAAACTGTTAGATTTCAGTGCCAAAATGAACAAAAAAGAGAATAATACTGTGTTCTTTTTCACGGAGTTTTGTCCATTTGAAGTTTGTCAGCTTCAGTCTGTGCATGGAACAGTTTGTCCGAAGAAGTGTTTGGAATCGGTGAGTGACATACCATAGAAGCAGAGAACATTAATGAAATGTTATCCCAACCTTATGGCTGAATAATAATTTCAAACACTCAAATCACTCTATCAGACAGTGGGCTAAAACGGAAGTTTGACAATCAAGGATCTCTGTGATTAATATGGTTTTATATCCTTTGAAGATTTGAAGCTTTAAATTTGATATAAAAGGTACATATTTATATCTTGAATATGTTTTGCATATTTGACCTGAACCTTGGAAATAGATTATAATGGAATATAGATACACAAACAACAATGACCTTCAAATTTCATATCCCCAAGAAACGGCTCAAGATCATTCTATGATAAATTGTTATCTGCAGGTGTTAAACCTCACATTTGACAAAATGGGAAACATTATTTGATTGTATTGATTTTTGATTGACATACGATTTTTGATATTTGCAGAAAAATTCAGGCGAAGTGAAAGTGTTAGATTTTCAATTTAAATTTCTGCACAGAATTGTTTGTACCTAAAAGGACTTTTATAATGAGTCCTGACAATACAATATGTTGTTTTTATCATGTCTCTAGTGAAACTCTATGTGGAAATGAGATGAAAGCAAAACTTTCTGGAACAGAACTTGAACATAGGATTACGGAAAATATTCAGGAATTCAAATTGTCCAAAAGTTTGATTTGGTTTGGCATTTTAGGTACGAGCCCATTACTAAATCAGATAATCTTCTCTGCTGACATATTTGTACAGAAGTCCATAAGTTGATAATTACAAGTGAAAGAAGTAATAATAACCACTGAAAAATTCATTTCCAGAAGAAATAATAATTTTGAAATGTTCTCAACCAAATGGTTTCTCTCTTCCCAGTATTTAATCTTGAATAACTATTTAACCAAAACATATTGCTGTTGATATTTATTTATTCTGTTGAGCCACAAGCTAATATTGATACCAATATATATACTGAACATCATTGAAAACGCACCAGTCTAAAATTGTCCATATTTCATCAAGATGGATTTCAAGCATGACAATGATCAATGGATATAACTAACATGAAGTCGAAGGGCATGTCGAGTTGAAAAAATGCTTTAGAAACTAATTCCTGTCAACAGTATGACTCCTTATTCCAAAAATGCATCAACATGCAGCCACGCCATGAAAAAAGCGCGAATTTCATTCTGACATCATACTGACTGTGACATTAAAGCGGGTGTATGAGAACCGATTTCCATTGCTTCACTAACGATTGTGAAACGAGGACAGAGATGCCGAGGAGGTTAACACCTCACGAAAGAGAACGTGCACTAGGCATGATTCAGGTTGGCACCAGCAGCAGGGATATTGCTCGACAACTTGGACTTGGCCACTCCACCACTGTTAGGCTTCATAGACGACATCAGTAGACAGGCAGCACCCGTGACCTTCAATGACCTTGGCAACAACGTGTTACGACGCTCCATCAGGATCGCCATATTGACCTTATCCATATCAGTGATTGAACACTGCCGACTGCCAGTACTGCTGCACTAGTTCAAGGTTGACGTGGGGGTCATCAGCGCTGACTCCATGTGATGCCGTCTACACGCTACAGGGCTACATGCTCGACGTCCTTACGTTGGACCAATTCTGACTGACAGACACCGTAATGAGCGTATACAATGGGCTAGCAGGCATTTTTAGTAAAGGTCAGCACAGTCGCCAGATCTTTCCCCCATGGAGCACTTGTGGGACGAAATTGGTCAATGTCTTTCGCGGCGACAACAGATGCGAAACATCCGTGAACTTGAGGCTGCACTACTGCAGAAGTGGAATGCCATCCTCAAGAACTCTATTCGGACGCTTATTGACTCAATGAGCAGACGTTGAACTGCATGTGTCAATGGAAATGGCGGTCACACGCGATATTGACTTTTCGATTTGACCCCACGTGTGATCCTTTCTGTCTGTGGAACATTTCAATGAATGAGCGTCTTTTTCTGTATGGTTGTTTTGTCAGTCGT